AAGATGAATGTGCCAGCAGGGTTGGTGTCCTCTGAAGCCTCTCTCCTTGACTTGCAGAGGGCCACCCTCTTGCTGTCTCTTCATATGGTCTTTCCTCTGCGTACACATATCCCTAGTGTCTCTCATTGTGTCCAAATTTCCTTTACTTATAAGGTCATCTGTCAGACTGGATTAGGGTCCATCATGACAGCCTCACTGTATCTCCAAATATAGTCACATTGTGAGGTACCAGGGATTAGGGCTTCAATGTATGAATTGGAGGGAAGGGCATAAGTCAACCCTTAACAGCTTGTCTACTCTATACAGAAAACAATGTTTTTTTCTCCTCTTCCTTTCTTTCCCCTCCCTCCTTCCATCCCTTCCTTTTTCCCTCTCTCCTTCTTCCCCTCTCTCATGGCAGATTTACTGTTATATTTGTTATAATACCTAGATCCAACAGACATAAACTGAAAACGCTAATCAACAACAACAGAATTCACATTACTTTCAAATGCACATAGGATACTTTCCAGGATAGACCCTATGTTAAACCACATATTAAGACTCAGTGAACCATGGATGATTTGGCTCAGAGGTTAGAGTGTTTGCCCATGGGCCAAAGGGTCATTCCTGGGTTTGATTCCTGGTCAAGGGCACACACCTGGGTTGCAGGCTTGATCTTGGCCCCGTTGGGGTCTTGGGGAGGAAAACAATCAATGTGTCTCTCTCTCATCAATGTTTTTCTCTCTCTCTCTCCTCCCTCCCTCCCACTCTATCTAAAAATCAATAGAAAAATATTCTCTGGCTAGGATTAACAAAAGAAAAAAGGGTGGGGGTTAAGGAAACATCAGCAGGCTTAGTGAAGATATGTATCCTTTGTTGTAACACAATATTGATTGAATGAAAATTTTATCACTAGAATTCTGACTTCAGTATGTGAATTGGCCTGATGGGGCCTTAATTTTCAAGCTTGCACAATGGTGAATCATAACATCTGCTTATGCTCAGTGGTTCCACAAGAAAAAGACTATTCGGCTTTCCTTGGGGTAAAGGTCCCACCAAGAGGAGAGATATAGCTTGGTTGGTATGGCTCAGTGGATTGAGCATCAACTCATGTACCAAGAGGTCACTGGTTCGATTGCAGGTCAGGGCGCATGCCTGGGTTGCAGGTTTGATACCCAGTGGGGGGGCATGCAGGAAGCAGCCAATCGATGGTTTCTCCCTCATTGATGTTTCTATCTCTCTCTCCCTTTCCCTTCCTCTCTCTCTGAAAAAAAAATATATATTAAATAAATATATAAGAAGAGAGATATAAATGACCTGTTTAGAGGAACCATAGCCTCCTCAACTGATGGCAGAGGCTATTTGGTCAAAGTTGTGAGCTAGATGCATTCACATTCAGCTAACTCTACGAGCAATTTTCTAGTGTGCCACTCTTTCCTTGAATCTGATGGAGCTGCTAAAAAAATGGAGAAAGAGAGCAGACTTCCCTGACCTCTAACTCTCCTGAGAAAACAGTAATAGGGTGATCAGAGAAATAGAACAAGATAACACTGGATCTACATCCCTGCCTTAGCAGGTTACCTCCACAGGCAAGAAGTAACTTGATCTCCAGCACCATTCCAAAAACCTGAGCCAGTAAAAATTGTGTTTTCAATTGGTTTGATTGTCACCATTCTTGGGTATTATCACCTATAGCTCTGAAACCAGGTCAGGAGTTCTGATTCTACAGTTCACCATGTAAAGTCAAGTCAGTCACAAAGTATGGGGAAATGCAAAAGGAAGGGCAAAGGTAGCTATGTTAGCAGCCTGTGCCTACTGATCCCAGCTAACAGGAAAACACTGAACTTAAAGTGTCAGGCCTATTATGACACAGACATGCAGTAAGTCCTCATTTAATGTCATCAATAGATTCTGCAACTCTAAGCAAGATAATGTATAATAAAACCAATTTTGACATAGGCTAATTGATATAAACAGGAGTAAAGTTTCTACGGCATCTCAAGAAAACAACTTTATTCAAGGATCTGCTGTACGGCCTGCCCTCTTTCACTCTGGTGCTCCCTTCTTCAGAAGGTTGAATGGTCAGCCTAGAAGGTGCTTTGTTCTCTTTGGAAGAAGTAAGCTAGGCCATATAAACCACCTGGGGACTCTGTTAAAATACAGATTTTGAGGCAGTAGGTCTGAGGCGGAGTCTGAAATTCTGCATTTCTAACAAGCAACACTCACCCAATGCTGATCCTCAGACCACACTTTGAGTTTCACATGAAGCAACTTTGAATTTTCACCAAAACTAGGACACTGGTTTTCCAAGAGTGGTCTGAGGGCCCATGCAGTTGGCATTCCCTGGCATTACCCCAGACCCTCTCAATCAGACCTTCTGGGGATGAGGTCTGGCAGAACTCCTTTTAAAAAAAGATTCCTCACCCGAGGATATATTTTTATTTTTATTTTTAAATTTATCTTTATTGTTGAAAGTATTACAAATGTCCCCCTTTTTTCCCCTCATTGACCCCGTCCACCCTGCCCCACCCCCACCTTCACTACACTGTTGTCTGTGTCCATGGGTACTGCATAAATGTATGTAAGTTCTTTGGTTAATCTCTTCCCGACTCCCGTCCCCCTTCCCTCTGAGACCTGTCAGTCTGCTCCATGCTTCCATGTTTCTGGATCTATTTTGTTCATCAGATTCCACATATAAGTGAGATCATGTGATACTTGTCTTTCTCTGACTGGCTTATTTATCTTAGCATAATACTCTCCAGGTATTGATTTGAGAGAGAGAGAGAGAGAGAGAGAGAGAGAGAAACATCGATGTGAGAGAAAACATCAATCAGCTGTCTCCTGTACATGCCCTAACCACTGGGGATTGAACCTGAATCCTAGTTATGTGCCCTGACCAAGAACTGAACCCACAACCTTCTGGTATAAGGGACAATGTTCCAACCAACTAAGCCACTCGACCAGGATTAGCAATCCTCATGTTTTAGCCATTCCCTTAGGTGATTACTATGGACATTGTTTCAGAACCACTACACAAAATCAGTGGCTCTGAACTGCAGCTCCACGTTAGAAGGGACCTCTTATCCTTTGAGACGACATGGAGGGACCTGGAGAGTATTATCCTAAGTGAAATAAGTCAATCAGAGAAAGACAAATATCACATAATCTCACTTATTTGTAGAATATAATGAACTAAACAAACTGATGAACAAAATAGACCCAGAGACATGGAAGTAGGGTACAGACTGACAATCCTCAGAAGAGGGCGTGAGGGGGGAGATAAACCACAGAACTTATATGCATGTATGTGTGAACAATGGGGGGTGGATGGAGAGGAGTGTGTCAATGGGGGAAAAAGGATAAACATCTGTAACAAAATAAATCAATAAAAAAAAGATATTTCAAACTCAAATGAAAAAAATAAAATAAAATACTGTATCCAGGATGCATTACAGGTCAAGAATTCAAACCTGTGATCTGAGATGGGTAGGGGGGAGACAGGGCATCAGTACTTTTCTTTGTTTTATTCATCAGTTTGTTTGTTTTTACAATACCCCTAAGTGAGCCTGGAACATACTGAGGGTTCAAAATCACTGCTTTAGATGAATACTTTTTCCTTTAATTTTGATTGGTGTATAATATGCATCTAGAAAAGTATGACAATCATAAGGATATACATAAGTATTTATGGGGAGGCAGTGACTAAATCCTTAGAGAGAGTAAGTATAGCTGTTGTTGTAGAATCTAGAGGTTTAAGCTATGTTGTACGTGTGTGTGTGTGTATGTGTGTGTGTGTGTGTGTGTGTGTGTGTTTAACTACCTGAATGTCATTTTCTTCCTCTGTGACTGAAGGCCATAATATTTGACCCATTTACCTTACACAACTGTTATGTGAAAAAAAAAAAAAAAAAAAAAAAAAAAAACAACTTGTAAACTATATTATCCAAAGAGGAAAAATGACCATTGTAAAATTTAAACTATGATCTTAATGCATGAGGCAAGTTTACGTCATGAAAATGAAAAGCAGAAGGAAGGATTTCTTTCCTCGAGCTTTCTAACATGGCCAGCTAATCCCTCTGCACTCCTACATGCGGAACTCTGAGGACAGGGCCCTGCCACCCGGCACTGTAACTTCCTCTTCTCTCTGTGCTGGTTTATCACTCAGCTTCCTGCCATAGTGGGATTCTACCTGTTCGTCACAGCGGGTATGTGTGGTCCAGATATCCTTGTGGGTTTGAACAAATGGGGAAGGAATCTAATTCTTTCCCAAGGGGGTCCCTAGCAAAGCAGATGGGATTTAAAGCTCCTCAGCAGATTATGCTGGTCCAATGTGACTGAGTCCACTCTAGAGACCCTTAGAAACATCTGGAAGCCTCTGTCTAATGGGTGGGGCCCCAGTCTCCCTCCTCTCCATCGAACCTCTCCAAGAGCTTCTAAGGGGTTTTTGGTCTGTCCTGGTTCTGGCTTAAACCACTATTGCAACCTTAGATTTCCATAAAATACTCCTACTCTGATCATGCTCCACTGAATCTAAACAGGGCTTCATCAAAATCAACATATAGTTGACCCTTGAACAACACAGAGGTTAGGGATATCGAACCCTCATGCATTCAAAAATCCATCTGTAACTTGACTCCCCAAAAACATAACTGCTAATACCCTAGTGTTGACTGGAAGCCTTGCCAATAACATAAACAGTTGATTAACAGATATTTGGTATATTTTATGTATTATATACTGTATTCTTACCATAAAGTAAGCTGGAGAAAAGAAAGTGTTATTAAGAAAGGCATAAGAAAAATAAAATATATTTACAGTACTGTATGTATTTATTTTTAAGTCCATGTATAACTGGACCTGCACAGTTCAAACTCATGTTGCTCAAGAATAAAGTGTATATAGATATTAACACTCACATGTGTATATGAGCTAAAGATGAGGACAAGCAAAGTATAATAAAGTAGTGAGCAAATGCTGTTTTGTATGTTACTGGTATGTTCCTAGAAGAGGCTACTTACCAGCCGGGTATTTACCACAGGAAACAGCAAGGCCAGAAGAGCTCCATTCAACATGTGCATCTGTAGCCTGGAGAGGAAGAAAGATAAAGTCTAGGTCACACTCAGACTGATGGACAGGCAGACAAAAAGTGTGTCAGGTTATGCCATGCCATGTGGGAGAGCATGTAAACAAATGGCTCTCTGTGTGAAAGAGCACTGCAGTTGGCACACATGCATAATAAATGAAAAGCCACATATGTTGTATTAACTGAAATGTTCTGAAGAGCATCATCGCTGCCTCAAAATCCCCCAAACATGTCTGGAACACACTTTGGTTACAACACTTCATTACATAATGAGCTCTGAGCTCCCTAAACATCCAGTCAGTCCCAATCAATGACTTCAACTGCTGCAGCTCAGGTGGCATTAGAAAGTGGCCAAGTGCTCTATTATTACAGGAGAGACCTATTGCTTATAACAGGGCTGCTTATTTACAGTACCATGTTCAGTTGTTTTCCCAAAATGGCAAGTTGGGCATAAAAAGGCTAGAACAATCCAGAAAACCAATTGCAGTTTTTTGCAAACTGTTTCCCCACCTTGTTAGAAATGCCTTTAGAAGATGCTATAGGAGGTAGTGAGGGCAGAAGTGGCAGCCTTCCAGGCTTCCTTTGAACTATTTTACATATTGGGCACCAGGACTTAAAAGAAAGGGGTGGTGAGGAGAAGAAGGTCACTCCAGCATCATGTAGTGATACTGTTTCCTGATACCAAACTTGTTAAAACACACACGAGAAACCCCTTATAAATCAAGAACAACCAAGTCAGAAACAAACTTCACTTGAGGATGGATTTAAATAATTTTCCTTATGATTAAAAGCAAATGGTCCTTTACTACTAAGAGAGAAGCCAGGAGTGAGTCTCTTCCTCCTGAAGAAAAGCTAATCTGATGAGTCACATACAACTACCGCTAAATCATCATGCCTTCTAGACTTCAAGTTTCTCCCTCTTGCTCTCGTCTCACTCTCTTGATAACCTACACACACAATAAGACAGTGTCACTGAGATACCAGGATTTCTCCTACACCAGGAATAGAAAAGTAGTCCACACCTTAAAGACCCCTAGGACATTAGCTCTTCTCTTAGAACTCACAGATGTGTGCCTAAGATTAAGAGAATTTACAAGAGACCCAAGGGAACAGCACAGAAACCCCAAGGCTGCTTTTCATTTCTCCCAGAGTGTTTCTTACTTTTGCTCTTATTACCAATGCCATGATGATGCACACTTAACATATTCTAGACAAATATCTAAGTAACTGCTTTACATAAACACTATCGCTTAATTTCTATAGCAATCTTATGAGAACAGGTATAATTATTTTTCCCCATTTCGCTGATGAGAAAACCAGGTTCAAAGAAGCAAAGTAACCTGATCGACGTTACACTTAAGAGCCAAGATTCAAACCCAGGTTTGTCTGACTCCAGTCCCCAAACTCTTATACCCCTCTCACTGTCTTCTATCAGAGCCTCCCTTGTAAAAATGATCTCAGGCAGAGAGTTGGGGATGCTCATTTTTCCTTTTGTCTTCAGGGGTCTCTCTACCACCTCTATCATCCACTGCCTAAGGCTTAATATTGCTTTTAGGGAATGACAAGAGGAGGATGCTCTTAAGTCATGGCAGGCCAACACAGTCCAGTAGTTTACCAGAACTTGGCTTGATCCATCAAAGGGAGGAGGTAAACTAATACAATGCCACTCCTACCTCCCCAGGCTGGTCAGGTTACCATGCTTTTACAACAGGATCACTCATGGGGATAAGCCATTCTCTGACAAACTGGCTACTGAAAATTCTTGCTCAAGCCTCAGTGCCTAAAGCAGAGATCATTAACAGCCATTCCAGGTCCCAGGTGAAGTAGAGTCTGGCCTAAGTCTTATGTGACAGTCACAGCATAAACTCTGTATAATGCACTCAGCATGAGGGACAGTGGTGCCAGGACTTGCCACTTGCCTTAAATGCTGACATATATACAAAGCCAATTAGAAATTGGTACACCAGATGTTGGTTGAATCTTGAGGATGATGAACTTGATCCCAAGGGCCTGTGGAAGGCCAAAGATAAAAAAGATAAAACCAACATCAAGATTCAAAACAAAACAAAACAAAACAAACAAACAAAAAAGCCCTGGCCGGTTTGGCTCAGCGGTTAGAGCGTCGGCCTGCAGTCCTGAGAGACCTGGGTTCAGTTCCCGCTAAGGGCACATACCTCGGTTGCAGTTTGTCCCCGGCCCTGGTCGGTTGTGTGGGTGGCAGCCACTCTATGTGTCCCTTTCACATCGATGTTTCTCTCTCTCTCTCTGTTCCTCTCTCTCCCCCCCACTCTACCTGAACAAAAAATGGAAAAATGTCCTCGGGTGAGGAAAAAAAAAAAAAAAGATTCAAAACAACTGATAAATTTCCTAAATAAAGACAGTCCTTGTTCTGAGTCCTCAAAATTCAGTTTCACAACCTACATATATGCCAAAGGGAGAATTATCAAAGGGAGAATTATCCATAATATATAAAAATATCTTGCATACTAATAATTACAAAAATATCTAACGTGTATTGAGCATTTCAATGTGTCAATCACTGGGTTAATATTCAAATGCATTATCTCATTTAATTCTCACAGGTTTTATTATAATCATCTTTTTTAATTGCACAGCTGAGAAAACCAAAGCACTAAGTGATTAAGTGACTTACTCAAAATCACTTAAGATAATAAGTGGCAGAGGGAGAAGTCATATTCAGGTCTCCTCAAGTTTCAAGCCTATGTTTTTACCACTGTACCCTGCTTCAAATCCATGACATGAACATACACATGCTCCGTCTGTGTGTGTGTGTGTGTGTGTGTGTGTGTGTGCGCGCGCGCGCGCGCGCAAGCCAGTTAGGAAAAATTCTAGAATGCCAGTGGAGCAGGGAGGGTCATGCATAAAGGCACCAGAACCCCTTGTGTGTTTTGTAGCAAATCTGTCCCAATTATACAGTGCAATTGCCTCTACAGAACCAGAGCACAGTCCAACAGGTAAGCAACTGACCATATCAGAGGCCAAAGCTTTTGATTTCACTTTATACCCACCTCCAACCTGACACCCACATTTCTACTGTGTATGGAAAAAGGATAATGGGCCACCAGAAGGTCCTGTGAGTGTTTCCTCATCTGTACAACAGAAACAATAATAGTACCAACTCATAAGATTATTATAAGGAATCAATATATATATAAAGTGCTTAGAAAAGTACATGGTACAGAGTAAGATACATGATACATAGTAAGACAGAGTTACTTCCTGGCCTAGTGACTCTGAAAAAGTCACTTAAAATATATGTGTCAGTTTCCTCAATCTTAAAACAGGTCTAATAACAGTACCTGGCTGAAATGGTTGCTGGAATAATTTAATGAGATATGATCCCATAAAGTGATCAACATAGTGCCTAGGATATAGTAAGCACTCGATATATGATAGCTATTATTATCCTTAATAAAGCAATGTAAGTGAATATCCCATTACTATTCATAACAACAAATAAAGCTGATAAAACCTTCATGAGATTATTCATATTTCAATTTAGCACTTGATTACAACCAAGAACCAAAATATATGGAGCAAATGACACATTCTATGAGTGGCTACGAAGGGAAATACATTGAGAAGAATTCTCAAAGGAAATTATATAATATTATGAAGTGGACAAAAATAGGAAAAAAAAAATGGTCTCAAATCAGTAAACCAAATTTCCACCTCAAGAATCTAGATAAAAAAGAGCTAAATAAGCCCAAAGCAAGCAGAGGAATAAAATAATAAAAATAGAAAAAATCGGGGAAGATGGCAGCAGCAGGACCTGAAGGAGGGTGAGAGTGAGCAAGTGTGTGAGAGAGTGTGAGTGGACATGAAGGTGGACGACCAAACCCAATCAGTGCAGAGCCACGGAGCAGAAGGATCCTGTGCTGTGGACGCGAGCAGCCAGCTACCACGATAAGCTGCCCTTCAGGGTGCTTCTCCCTGCGCCACAGGGAGGTCCCACCATTTTGGTAGATCCCGGGTCTTCCATGAAAGGAGGCAGTAGGAGCAGCTAGGGCCCAGCAACCTGAGCCCACCAGCGCACCTGGCACCATCGGACCAGTGGACACTCTGTGTCAACACAGACCAGTGCACAGTAGTGAAGCTCTCAAGGTGCCAGTCGCAGAAGCCACAGCCAGCCTGGAGCCCAGTACCATCCCCCATAGTAGCAGCCCAATCAGAGTCGAGATATACCCCCAGCAACAGAGGCTGGGGAGCAAAATCCATCCCCAGGCAACAGAAGCACAGACCAGCATCTGAGACCCATCCCTAAAAACTACAGCAAAAGTTGAGTTGGAGTTGAGCCCCACTGGACAGCAGCACGCCCTAGCCACCATCGGAAGTACCTGGTGCTCCACAGAGGCCTGTGTGGTCCAGTAACTCACAAGAGCAGTGAGAAGCCAGACCCCAAGAGACTGGTGCGATCCAGCCCACGGGAACTGCAGAGTGTGGGGGCACCAGAGAAGCCTGTGCTACCCAGCAGGGACTGTGCCACCCAATACCCATGGGACCTGCGGGGTGCTGAAGCACCAGAGAGGCCTGTGTGACCCAGCAGAGACTGTGCAATCTAGTTACCCCTGGGAACTGCAGTGTGCTGCAGAACCAGACAGGCCTGTGCAACCCAGCAGGGACTGTGTGATCTAGTTAACCCGGGACCTGTGGGGTGCTGCAGCACCAGAGAGGCCTGTGTGACCCAGCAAGGACTGTGCAATCTAGTTACCCCCTGGACCTGCAGGGAGCTGCAGCACCAGACAGGCCTGTGCGACCCTACAGGGACTGTACAATCTAGTTACCCACTGGGCCTGTGGGGTGTTGAAGCACCAGAGAGGCCTGTGAGACCCAGTTACCCGCAGGACCTGCAGGGTACTGGTGCACCAGGAAGGCCTGTGCAACCCAGCTGAGCACAAGATAGGCATAGAGAATGTGAAAAAAGGAGGCAAAGTGAATAGAAGCTACACAAATAATCTCCCAGGACCAAATGGGAATTACA